TTGGTCTGCAATTGTGTCTCGACCATAGAAAAGAAATTCTTTAGACATGTTGGAGCTTTTGATTTATCTTGAAGAAGATGAACCCAAACACTTCTTGAGAAATCATCAACAAGAGTTCAAAAATATCGTGCTCCACAATGCGAAGCCATACGATACGGACCCCATAAATCAGAATGAACTAACTCAAAAGACTGTGTTGTTTTATTGATACTTGATGGAAAAGGAGACTTTGTTTGTTTAGCGCGGAGACAGAGATCGCACGCCTTATTGAAAATTTCAGAACTAACAGAAACAGAAAGAGTCTTTAGAGAACCAACTACTTGAGCAGAGGGATGTCCTAAGCGTTGATGCCACAACTCGTAAGACGTGTCAGCTTGAGTCCGTACTGATGCAGCTAACTCCATTCTGCAAAAATAGTAGGTTCCGGACTCCCGCTTACCCGCTCCAATCACCATCCTCGAACCGCGGTCCTGAACCACAAGAAACCGATCAGCGAGTTGAATCACACAACGATTCTCATCAACCAGTTGCCCAACGGAAATCAGATTTGTGGTTAATTCCTCAACAAAGTAAACCGACTTTAAAACCAAGTGTGAACCAAAAACAACAGACCTTGCTTAACGGAGACACGCTCTCTACCATCAGCTAAGATAACTAACACCAGAGCCATATCTGTAACATTGGTGAGGCTATCGTAGTTTCCTGATAAGTGGTGAGTAGCACCAGTATCCAATATCAAAGAAGAGAGATAAGACTTACCAGACAGTTTCTCGGTGCTTGTGCTAGGACGACCATTCAAGATCGTCTTCAAGTAACGCCACTCAGAATCATTTAGAGCCGTGACAGCATCCCGATCCTTGTCAGTGATAGGGTAGCTGGCGTGATCCGGTGATAAGACGGGGGGAACATGAACAGCATTAGCGTAAGCACACCCACGCCCAGCAGAGACGCCATCAGACGAGACACCACGACCTCGGCCAGAAATAGCACGGCTACGAGGACGTTCTCCCAACCATTCGGGATACCCGATCACCGCGAAACAGCTATTGGAAGCATGGCCCGAACGTTGGCAATGCTTACAAACAACCGCATTTTCAAATGCATCAATGCGAGCCGCGTTGGAACGAGACCTAAAAGTGACCGCATGAGCAGCAACTTGTGGAGTCTCCTCACCATGATGCACCGTTTTAAGATCTTCTTCTTGAAGAACAATATTGTAAACCTCTTCCAAAGGCTGAAGAGGTGTACGTGACACCAAAGTGGACCGCACGGTGTGATAGTTGTCATCGAGACCAAACAAGAACTCGTGCACTTTGTCACCCTCACGGTCTTGTTCTTGGAGATTCGCCAGATCACATTCACATTTACCACACTTACACACACGCAAAGGTCGGTAGTGAGCCATGTTATCCCAAATACGATTAAGCTTCCCGAAGTAAGCTTCAATCGCAAGACCTCGCTGTTTGCAGCAGGCTAATTCCGCCTTGAGCTGTTGGATACGCGACCCATTCATCACCGAGAATCATTTCTTCAAGTTGTCCCAAAGATCCTTAGCAACATCCCGGTGCGAGATGCTGGAACGGAGTGAAGGATCATCGTCATCTTGATCCATGAAACAAGCAACGCCTGAATCGTCCACCAATCGTCAAGATCCGCATATCCGGCAGTAGGACGAGCAATGGTCCCATCGAGAAAGCCAAACTTCTTGCGAGAGCAGAGGGCTGTTTTGATGCCGCATGCCCACTCATCATAGTTCGAACCCTTGAGTAAATGGTGAGAAATCACAGCGTCGGGATTGTCGGCAGCAGTTAGGTCATACCATCGTGGTCGAGTTCAGCGTCGTTGTTTCGGTCGAGTTCGAGATCGGAGTGGTAGCCATCGTTTGTGTTTTCGAGAAAAAAATAAAATTTTGTCAAGGCTCTGATACCATGAACAAATAGATGATCGGAGAAGAGTAAGTTTCTGATGATATTATTCGCAGGAAGTATTACAATGATATATAGCTCTACAACGATATCTAGTTTCCTAAAGAAGTACAAGAGGAATCAATTTAGTATTAATGTACATGAACATGATTGACGTTAAGCGATATCATCGTGATACGATATGATATCGCATTAATTTTTGAAAATGGATAGAAAAGAGGGGTATTTTTAAAAAGGGATACACCAAAAGGGGTATTTCTCAAAAATTCTCTAGTTTCTTTGGGAATGTTTGCCGCTTCGTTTCAGATATGGTCATGCTTGCTCTACTTACAATTTTGTGTCTGTTGTGTTCAATAAAATGATAAGTGTATCTGCTTGAATAATTTGTAGAACGATCTGATCTCTATAATTAAGATTTAACTAATCTACTAATACTAATATATTTTGGATTCTCTTTCGCAGGTAAAGTTGTACTAATGTGACTTCATATTATGGGTTCGACATTTCTGTTCCACAAAGAAGGAATAGATATGGAGAAGAATTGAGAGAATACTACAGTAGAAGAGAATTAGATAAGTAGGAGAAAAGTGAAGGTGATGAGCATTTGCTCTCGATATGCATGTGTACCTTCGTTTTAGATGAACTAGGTTGTGAACCCACGCTATGCGTGGGTTTATTTGATGTACTTTAGTAAAAAATATATACGATTAATGATAGTAATATTATGGAAAAAGATTGCTGGCTACATGAACTATGCAAGAATACATGGCCACACATGCGAACTAAACTATTTTATGCTCAACTACACCAACTTGATGGAATGCATGGCCACATGTACCAACTTGATGATGTCATGTGTTTAGCATCGACAACATCAAATCTCGGTGTATCGGTACAAAAACGCCGACGTTGACTCGCCGTTGACTTATCGGAACCGATATCGTACCCGATATTAACGAAACCGACCCGAAACAAGATCCGACCTGGTCTGCTTCTACATAACCTGAATTATAAATGGACAATTTACTTGGGCTTATAATTTCAATTAGGCCCAGACCAATAAAACAAAAACCTTTTACACAGTACAGATTACAGTAAATCATTTCGTATTCTCCATTTGTGGTGAAGAAAAAAATTCCCCTTTTTCACTTAGGGTTTACGAGAGTTTAGAAGAGAAAAAGGGGAAGAATATACATTTAGCGATTTAAACATGTAGCCAAACAAAATCATTACATTTTTGTATTAATACTATAGTATAAGAAATCATAAAACTATTGCCAAACAACTCAAATTACGGATAAACGCGCGGATCTTTAATACTCGCTAACCAAACCCGAAAATTTTATGTTCTAATCTTAGCCGTCCGTTTATAAGTGGTAGCTGTTAATCCTAACCGTTTAATCAATCCACCGAGAATCATATCTTTAAATCTCGGCCGTTCCTTTTTAGAGCAAGTTTTTAATCCGTACCGTTTAATATATGACAAACCATAGAATATTTAGGGCCTTTTTATCAATCTCTTCCATTTCGGCCTATACTTTTCCGGATTTTATACGAATATGGGCCGAGAGCGCATCATTGATTTGGATATTTTTATGGTATAAAATCGTATATTCTTAATATGGGTGGAATAATTATCTCCACCATAATATCCGCTTTTCAATATTTATTAATTTTCTCACTGATGTATGTGATTCCATTTATGATAATTAATTAGGAATTGAAATCGTTATCGAAGATCTTAAATTTATAAAGAGCATACCATAACTACCCTATAATTGATTAGCAGAATATACGATTTTCTGTTGTAATGCAAAACAATAACAAACTTTGTGAGCAAGTTTATTACTTTATATCTATTCGTAATAATCGGAAATCAAATTAGGGTAATTTTTGATGGGTTCGAAATCTTCCCGAACCTAAATTTAAATGACGATACCATTACACTATAAATAAACCAATTCTTATTAAATACCTATCATAACTAAACGACCTTTGAAAAAATAGGAGAATCCAAAAATGTTAGCCTCTACACTCCCTATCACGTCTCTTAGTTCCCTAAAACCTTACAAAGTAAATTGGCGTATTCAAGTGAAGGTTTTGCATCTCTGGAAGCCGTATTCCACCAAAGTTGGTGAAACAATGGAGATGTTTTTGGTTGACATTTCTGTAAGTTACAGTTTCCAAAATTAAGATTATTTTCATTTTAATTAGTTAACTATGAGTGAAGGTTTAACTATTTTTTGATATCGATTTTTCTTTCTTTTTACTTTCACAGGGTCATAAGATTTCTGCTAACATAAAAAAGGAGCATATCAAAAAGTTTGAAAAATTTTTGATCCCAAATTTTTGGATCATTATTTCTATTTTTGGTTTAACTCCTTTTTATGGTTCATTTAAAATATCGGACATAAAGTTTAAAATTGGTTTCATGTCCAAAACAATTGTCACCGCTTCTGAAAACATATCCGACGACATGTTTCTTCAATTGGCCAGTTACGATGATGTTCTTGCTGGGAAACAAAACAAGAATTTGTTATTTGGTTAGTATTTTTATTTATTTAAAAATCAATGAAATGTTTAATTTCTTCTATAACTAGTTTGATTTTTTTGCAGACTTTATGGGCCAATTCGATGATTGTGGTGAGATTCAAGATATCCCTACTTCTACTAAGCCTACCAAGAAGATCGACTTTCATTTGAGAAACAAGGAGTAAGCTTACTAATTTTAAAGTAACAATTTTCGATTAGAGAAAATATTACGCATATTTGTAATTGATTACTATTATTAATCATTCGCAATTGTAGGGTACTCGGGTGTTATGTACACTCTGGGGAAAATTTGCTGAATCACTAAGTCAAGCATGGTGTTGTAATTTGTTTGATACGATTTGCCAAAGTCAATGTTTTCAACGGTAACATAAAAAATTACTTTACATCATCTTATACATCAAAATATATACTGCATACAGACTAAAAGAGCATTCGTATTTACGATCATATATATCTAAAATGACTAATTCAGATGTTTGGAGTGTTTCTAATTCTTATGACACATCACAATTGCTTACTAATATGGCCATACCAATGATTAAAGACATTAAGAAAAGGTATGTACTAGAATAGATTGAGATTAGTAATTATCTACATTTTAAATGTATATAATTAATACCATTTTATGTTTAATTTAATGTAAACAGCCTTACCATTGATGGTTCGGAATTGACTATCGTGGGTAACTTACAGACTAATGTCTTTTTTGGTCGTACTAAAAAAGAAGACATGGATGAGTTTCCCATCATGACTTTTGAGGAACTGCTTCAAGCAACTGAGGTTTGTTTAAATTAAACTTTTAAGAATTATTAATATGTTTTATCTAACATATATATGCATCTCACATTTCCATTTACACGATTGTATTGTAGGTAGGATTGGTTCGCACTCTTTGTACGGTTAAAGAAAATGATACTGACTATTCTTGGTTCTATTATGCATGTAAAATATGCAACAAAAAAACTATTAAGGAGGATGTCATTAAGCTGGAAGATGTTAATGCAAAACCTATACCAAGATTTTGGTGTGAGGTCTGTAAAGATTACGCTAAAGGCGTCTCTCCAAAGTGAGTTTTTTTGTTGCCTAAATCCTTATAATTTCTGATCAAGTTGATTGAATTTATTTTCTATTCATCTTTTTAACGATTATCAAATTTTTAGGTTTTGGATTCACCTTAATATCATTGACCATACTGGTGAGACTAGAATTATGATGTTTGTCAGTTTTGCTGAGGATATCGTTGGGACGGCTGCTACTGAAATCATACCTAAAGGATCATTTGATCTGGTATATTAGATAATAACATCTATACAATTAAATAAAGATTTTACTATCTTCAATCATTACTAACTCAATGCTTATATAGTTTGAAGATCCCACAGATTTGCCAGATCCGATCAAAGCTTTAGTTGGGAAATCTTTTGTTTTCCTTCTTTGCATCGAGCCAAAACATATTCATGGAAAATGTGACATTTATAGGTTTGCACAAGTTGCTGAGGGGAAAACAAGATATGTCCCTGAAATATCCTTATCATATACATATTTTGATCAATAATCAATTTACTCGGCTGACCAGGTTAATAGTAGTCTAAAAAAGTCAATTAAAACTATAGTAATGTCAAAGCATTATGCTATATACATTTTGTTTATGTTTCTCATATCATCTCTTACATATATTTTATTTTTAGGGTTCTCTCATGATAAGCGATGGTGTAGAGACGTCTGAAGTAGGTATCTCAAATTCCTCAACTCCATCATCAAAAAGAGATTCGACTAGCATGAAAGAAGGAGATGTCCAGTCATCAACATCCAAAAAGCAATGTTCCAAGATGGGTGTACTAGATGATGTCAAGGTTGCTACAAAGGATGATAAGGAAAAACATAAACTTGACTAATTTAATTTTTCGGTTTTACAAACATTGGGTTTTGTTTTTAATTTTTCCTTTCAGAACTATTTCCTTGGTTGTTTTTATTTATTTATTTGCTATTATCTTTTGCTTTTATATTTTTTATCGGTTTTAATATTTCAAAAATATTTTAAAGTATTGGGTTTAACGGAAATGAAACCAAAAATGAAGGCCCAACATTAGCCCAAATTCATAAACGATTAGCTTATACAATGATTACTTCCAATCAGTTCAAATAACATTCAAAGGAAAAAACCAAGTTCCAATAAACTTTGCATAGGAAAAACAAAATTACTCATGATTATCATCACTCTATCCTATGCATAGATTAGTTTTTAGATTGAAAACATAACCCATCACAATTAAAAAAAATCAATAGGAAAATACTTACAAAATATTCATAGGTTTTTACATTCACTTTCATGCAGACCCATATATATATTTATCAGACAGCTCATAGATCATTGAAAGAATCAAACTATACTTTAGCAACCTTACATATGTTTACCAAATAGTCAACATTTATACAGAAGCTAAAGTCTATGATGTGATTGATATGGAAACCAGAAATAATGAATATCTTTTGTATTGATCTCAATTGACTCTAAAATATTAAAACATTGCAAAAAGGCATTATTCTTTTCCTATTAATCAGCGGAACGATACATATCAAAAGTCGCATATATTCACTATATTAAAAACCTTTTTTCGACTTCCATTAACATAACCTCAAAGAAGACAAAACTATTAAACCCTAACTCCATCCTTAAAATTAATCTTTCCAAAACTTAATCATCTCTACCATGAAGATCGATGCAGTAGCTGATTTAACCCCACGAAGTAGTGGTGCCATCATAAGGGTCAAGGTTTTAACTACTTGGTTTTCTCGTGATTTCTTTAGCAAGAGGGTTATGGTACTCGCTGATATAAAGGTAATTCATTTCTTAAAATTGACGTTAAAATTAGTTTATTAGTTAGATATTGGTTGATTAGTTTAGATTAAGAAAAAGGAACAATTTTTGTAGGGTGATAGAATAGAGTTAACAATTTCTCCCGGCTTGAAGAATCCGGAAGTACCAAGACACGTCTATGATGGTGAGTGGTATTTCTTAAGGGAGTTCAAAGTCATCCCGGCTATTCTTAAAGAGAGGAATACAAATTATCCATACCAGATTAAGCTAACCGAGAAGAGTGATATGATGGAGATTAGACCTGATTCATTGAAGAAGTTTTACCGGTTTGAGGATTTCTACCATGTTGCTAAGGACTTGCTTCCATCTAACAACTCTTACGGTTAGTGCTTTTAGCTTTTATTTAGCTCTAGAGTACAAAAAGTAATCTTACAACTATATTATCCATTGAATAGATTGCACTTAGTCATAAGTTTTGGTTTTGTATGGATGTTAGATTTGTTTTTTTTTTGTTTAAATGTGTAATTTAGTAAACAAACTATGTACAAGAGTGTTCGAGAGCAAGTATAGCCATAAACGCTGAATCAAAACAAAGAGATCTAGTGCATAAAACCGGTTTCAAAACAAGAGAGAGTATTAAGCGAACTCAAGGTTTGGCCATGAGCCAACGCTGCATGAGAAGACGGAGGCGAGGCTTGTTGGGGTAGTCGAGAGATGTTATGCGGTTGCGGATTTGCTTATCTATGTACCGGACGAGCTGGAGGACGGATAAGTGAGCCCTGCCATGAATGCGATTGTTGCGTTCCCGCCAGACGGAGTAGATCGCTGTTTGGAAGCAAAGGCGAAGCAAGATGGACCTGTTTGCGTCCCCTGTAAGCTGCGATATTGCTGTGATTGTCTCGTCCCAGCCCGGATTCAGGTGAGTGCGCAGGAGTTTACCCACCAGAGAGGTCCATAGTGTAAAGGAGTACAGACAAGCAAAAAAGAGATGGTCTCTCGTCTCGTCCAATTCTCCGCATAAAACGCAGGCCTGGTGTTGGCCCCAAAGACGCATTCTTGAGCCCGTAGATAGACGGTTTAACATAGCTAACCACGTAATAAAACCGCAGCGGGGAATGGCTTGACTGAACCAAATAATACCACTCCAAGAGACCAATTGATGAGGCTGATGAACCTGCACCCACGTATGTTGAGAAGAGAACCGATCAACAAAATCGTCCATCCCTACCCTCCACAGGAAACGGTCTGGCTCGCGAGAGGGATGTGGCAATGGCGTAGCACAAATTAGCTCCAAAAGGGGGTAGAGATGAGTGAGCCGCGTTCGACGCAAATTCCAACCCCCAATCCCCACCGCATCCTTGACTTTGGCATGTAGAGGGATTCCCAGGATCCTCGGCCCGGCTGGTCCTGTAATGTCCAAAATGCGACCAACCGGAAGCCAATGGTCAAACCACAAAGAGGTGAGTTCGCCATTCCCAACCTCAGCCCGGATAAACAATCGAACCTCATCGCGGAGTTTTAGAAGTTTCCGCCATACCCATGAACCCTTAGTTGTACTTTGGGCAGTCCAGAAGCAACCATGGTTCATGAGATTTTGTCGAGCCCAAGCTACCCATAGAGAGCCTGAGAGGGTGAACAACCGCCATATTAGGTGGTAAGGAAAAACTCGTGAAACATCCTGTAGTCGTCTCAAGCCAAGTCCGCCTTCCTGCTTGGGCGTACAAACCTTAGACCAAGCAACCTTAGCCCCGGTAGGAGTGTGCAGGTTTCCCGACCAAAGAAAAGCACTGCATAATCTCTCAACTTCATCCAGGCAACTTACGGGAAGCTGAAAAACCAAGGACCAAAAGTTGGAAATGCTGGCAATTACCGATGAAATGAGTTGCAATCGATCCGCATAGGAAAGATGTTAACTCATCCAAGAGAGAAAGCGAGAGCGGTTCTTATCTAGAAGCGGGGAATAGTCATGGGCAGTCATTGTCTTAGTAGTCAGCGGGAGCCCCAGATAACGGATAGGGAGAGCTTCGGCTGGGATTCCAAAACCATTTGCGGCCACCACCATGGCTTGCTTGTTCCGACCTCCTGCATAGATGGCCGATTTGGAATTATTAACATGCAACCCCGATATGCGAGAGAACTTAACAAGAACATCCATAATCGCACATAACGATGAGGAAGAACCATCCGTAAAGACCAGGATGTCATCAGCAAAAGCTAAATGGGTTACAGCAACCTCCTCACAACAACGGTGCCTACCAATCCTGCCCGTAGAAACCGCACGGTCGAGGAGTTTAGATAGAACATTTTTGAACCATGACAAAAATATAAGGAGATAGAGAGCAGCCCTGCCTCACACCTCTGTTGCTTGCAAAGAAACCCTCCAGCTCACCATTCACAACCACAGAGAAAGAGGCGGTAGAAATGCAGGCATAAATCCACTTAATGAACAAGTCAGGAAAGCCCAACGCTTGAAAGATGGAGATAATGAAGGACCATTTCACCGTGTCAAAAGCTTTGGAGATATCAAACTTGATGGCACTTCTAGAAGAGATAGTACCCTTGTGATAATCCTTCACTAGTTCTGTAGCGAGAAGAACATTTTCTAGGAGTAAGCGGCCCTGGATAAATGCACTCTGATTTGGTGCTACAAATTCTGGGAGAATCTTCTTTAGACGATTGGCCAAAATCTTAGAAATCACCTTATATAAAATGTTGCAGCACGAAATTGGTCGATAGTCTTTCATTGTTGCTGAATCCGCCTTCGGATTCTTAGGGATAAGACAGAGCAAAGTTGCATTCACGGCCCTCGGCTTTTGGCCAAAGAGAACAAAGGACTGCACATCGACCACACAGTCCTGTCCCACTATACTCCATGCAGATATATAGAACTCCTTAGTGTATCCATCCGGTCCGCAAGCCTTCCCGGAGGGCAGGGAGGACAAAGCATGCCAAATCTCCTCGCGGGTCACTGGGGAGATTAGATCAGAGCACCGAGATTCCGGGCACTGGTAGTCCAACAGGTCCCCAAGATAGGTCGGTGCAACCTCCCCCGTATCCAGGCTATCCCGCTGCAGAAACTCACGAAAATGGTGCGCATTTTCCGCTTTAATCTCGGACGGGTTAGTCAGTATTACTCCTGACTCCAACGTTAACTGACGGATAGCATTGCGGCTAGCATTTGCCTGTGCGACGAGATGAAAAGAGGTAGTGTTCTGATCTCCACAACGCAACCATTGGATCCCGGATTTTTGTTTGAAAAACTGTTCCTCTATCGAAGTAAGGCGCTGCCATCTATCCGTGGCATCAGAGAGGGCTATTATGTTTGCTTGCGTGGGAGAGGAGAGAGCTACTGCTTGCAACGAACAGAACTCCTCGTACGCTTCCTTACACTTCACAGGTAAGTCACCAAACCTCGACCTATTAAGCTCCCGCATATGGAACTTTAGAGCTTTTAACTCCCGGTGAAATAGAGATAGAGCTACCCGAGAATGATAGAGACAAGGCTCCTGCGACCAGACATTTGCGACAGTAGGGAGGAAGAGAGAGTGGCTTGTGAGGAAGTTGAAAAATTTAAACGGCTTACGGTGAGGGGTACTTGCAGCAGAGAGATGGATAAGACACCAAGAATGATCCGAGATACCCCCTGCTTCAAAAGAAGCATGAGAGTGAGGAAAATGTGAGAGCCAATCCGGATTCACTAATGCATGATCAATCTTCTTCCCAATGGGGTTGGCATCCTGGTTGTTAATCCAAGTGAACTTTGGTCCAGCAAAAGACAAGCTTCCCAAGTCGCAAAACGATACCGTGTTCTAAAAATCAAACATCCCTGTCATATTGAAAGCGTAATCTGCAGCTCGAGAGTGATCCGTCAGAGCCAGAACCTCATTAAAATCACCAAGAATAATCCATGGGGTAGGTGATTGAAGAACAGTTGACTTAATATGGCATAAATCCCCCCAAAGGGAACGACGGTCAGTCATGATGTTTGAAGTATAAACAAAACTGCAGAGAAAGGTGACTCCAGTACTAATGACCGAGATGAAGCAAGTAATATGTTGAGCGCTCTGAAGAACAGGGGTGACTGTTACAACATTCGACCAACACATCCAAATGCGACCCAACCTATGATCCCCATAATTCATTATAGACGACCAGCCGGGCAAGATAGAACTAACAATTGAAAGTGCGTTGAGCTCTTGAACATGAGTCTCTAAGAAACACCCAAAGGATGGTCTCACAGCTTGAATCCAATTCTTAACGACATTGTGTTTGCGAGGAAGGTTGAAACCCTGCGTGTTCCAAGCAAAAAAAGACGTCATAACTTCCGTGAGGAAGCTTTTTTAGTTGCCTTTATACGAGTATCCTTGCGCTGAGATATCGGCTTTAATGGACCGCGAGAGCGGGTACGATGACGGCCAATTGTTGGTTTCGGAATGCAGGTGACAGTCGGAGCTATTTCCCCTGATACATCGTAAGCAAGGGTAGTCGTGTCTGGTTCCTCTTCCTCTGATTCAGACTCGAGAACGTCTCCCTCTTCCTTATCATCTTGTTGCTAGAAACCGTGATCGGTGACCGGCTCAATGGAGTCCATAGATGAATCCGCTACATCATCGTCCAATATTTGCAAGACCCGAAAACCGGTTGGCGAGACTGGTTTGGTGGGTAAGCTCTCCAAAACTACACGCGAAGAAGGAGAGGAACTTTTATTTTGTCGTGAGACAGTCGTCCACTGGTCATCTTCAAGTACTCCCACTGTTACACTCTCTGGTTTCGAGACAATAGCGTTCTGGAACGGTGCAGCCTGCTCAAGGTCTTTGATCAGAGTTTGAACCATTTCCTGGACTGTGGCCGATACCGATGGTTGACGTTTCTCAAGAAGCGTAACATTACCCGCGTTATTGCAATTCTTCTCCTTATGTCCCTAGTGAGAACAGAGGCTACACTTTGGCGGGAGGCATGGATAGGTAATAGTTACAAGCACTTCCTCCCCATTAACACCCGTGAAGCTGATCTTTTCTGTTAACGTGTTCTGCAAATTGACCTCAACCAATATCCTTGCCACATCCAGCCGAGTACAACGTTCTGTACTTGGGTGCAGTTTCACAAACTTACCCACAGTACTAGACAGAAATTCCAACCCTTTCCTTGAGAACAGAACTCCAGGCACATCCGGAGGTCGACCCACATTGGCATGGCAGAAAGGTTTGGTGGAGACTGCGAAGCTACAGGATTCAATTCAGCCACCATGAGAGGAATATCAGCAATATGCCAATACTTACGTGAGATAACACGATCCCGAACTTTCTCATTCTCGATCCGGAACAGGACGGTTGTCTTATTGAGAATTTGGACATCAATCTTGAGAGTTTTGTCCAAAATTGTCCATATATGATTGACTGTGGCATGTATCGTCCCACCACGAAACTCTTCCACAACGGGGAAGCATCAACAACAAGCTCCTCCGGAATAGAGACTCGTGCTACTCCATTGGTAATGATCAGATCCGACGGGGAAACCAGGAACGGGCTTTCTTTGACATCAGACACATACGATCCCTTCTGTGAAGGAGAGGACACGCGGCTAGGAGAGCCGAGAGGCAAAGGACCACCAGCTGGGGGAGGCGGAGTCCCCATACTGGCAGCGGACGGCTTACCGTGAGCGAGAAGGAGCGATGGACGATGAGAGCGGCAGGGTTTCGGGAGCGGCCTAAGGAATTTCTTTTACTTTTTCTTTTTGGATGTTTGATTTCTATAGCTGCATTGTTGATGTTGGTCAAGTGAAAGAAGAGGATTTTACTGACAGTAAAGATGGGACGACTACTAGGATCAATGGTTTAGTTATCAAATTGATCAATGGGAGGTAATCTTTGTAGTAACTTATTTAACGACATGATTACTAATTTATTGATGATGAGAAGCCGTAGTTAACATGTTACATCTTTGCAGGAATGAACAACTTCTATGCCATATTATTGGCGGTGCTGTTCAATACTTCAATAACCAGTGGCAAGAAGGTGGTTTCCATCTTACATACAAAACGGATCATGTGTTTTGTATCTTTCGTTTCTGGCGGGTGTCTAAGTATGAAGGTAAGTTTACTAAATTTGTGAACTTAATTACTAATTATTCTTAAGGTTTCTAACTGACTACAGTTTGTAATAAACGAAAAGGAACATTGTAGGAGTCCCTTGCATTACCAATGATACACATATTGGTAGTGGAGCAACTAGGATTTACCTTAATCCTCAAGAAGGTCTCCAAAGTCATCGTATCATGTAAGTTCACTTATGTGTCTTTTAGTGTTTTTATGTTTATGATAATATTTTGCTAATAATCTAACTTTCAATTCAAAGTTCCGAGTTCGCTGCTCGTCATTATTTTAGAAATCAAGCATGAAGATGAAGCCAAAGAACGAAGAATGAAGATCCAAAGTCGTCCTTCTGTGTTTTTTAATTTTTTTTTTGGTTTGCTAATTGATAAATAGTTGTCAAATATTTTGGAAAACTAGTTTAATTAGATGACTATTTATATAAGCTTTTAATTTTCAGTAATGTACTTCCAATCTATTGCATAAACACATCGTATATAATTTAACAAAATTGTCGTAAATTCTTATAAGAAATGAATATAATTATTAGAATCGATACACATACATTCATGTGTATATTCTAATTGGGCATCCTTTTTATATGTTAACCATCAACACTTAATTACGAGAATCGATACACATACTGTATCGATAAACGTAATTGCCGTTTTCCAAATATGAAATGATTTACCTCTCAACCTTTTAGTTTTGTCTAATTCAATTAACAAAGAATAAAATAAAAATAAAGGATCTTCTTTTATGTACTTCCATTAACACCACTTTCCCGAAACGAAATTGAGCCTAGGGTCAATATAATCTTAAATATCTTTACCTTCAGAAAGTAACTACAGTAGGACCATGCCAAGAGTTTATGTCTCCGATCTAACTCCAAAAAGGAAAGATTGGGGGATAAAAGTCAAGGTTTTGAGTACTTGGATAACTTCTGATGAGATGAAAAAGAGGGTACTTATTCTGGCTGACGAGAAGGTATATATTGTTAAATCTTTTTATCTACAAATACATCTTTTTTAATTTAGTTTTATCGAATTAGGTTCTATTATTTACTGGAATTTTCGATATAGGGGGATAGAATCGAAATGACTATACCTTCTGATCTAAAGAACCCTATGATCATTAGAGACATATGTGATGGAGACTAGTTAGACATATGGGATTTCAGATTAATCACTCATGTGTTGAGACAGAGAAACACCAACCATCGTTATCAAATCAAGACCACAACCAGAACACAAATGTGGTGGGAACTATCACATGAAAATAAATCTTACTTAAGGTTTGAAGATTTCACCCATGTTGTTAAAGAGTTGCTACCGTCAAACAACTCATACGGTATGTAAACCTAACCAATATGTTTTTTTCAGATTCTCCATAGAACATAATGTCATATATAACAGAGCAAAATGATTAGTTTATTTATCCTCTTTTATAGATTTCTATGGCTGTATAGTTCACATCGGTGAACTTAATCATTGAGAATTTGTGTTCAATGTCTATGGACAGACTTCTAATGTCACTGGTTTAGTTTTCAAAATGATAAATGGGAGGTTAGTAAGCAATTTTTAAATTTATACCTAAGAAGTTTATAATGTTTTACTTGAAGAATGTGTAAATCTCTTACACAGATACATCTAAATGCAGGAATGAGTTACTTCTTTGTCATTTAATTGGAGACTTTGCTGAGTATTTTATGAAGTATTGGGAGTTACAAGGATACCATTTCACATATAAAGTAGATCCTTTGTTCTGTGTTTTGCGGTTCTGGAGAGTTTCTAAATACCGAGGTAAGTAACTTTTACTTTAACTTGAAGGTTACAGCTCCAATAAATAGGTAGGGTTTTTTAGAAATAGGGTAGATTTGGATACATATATGTATTATTATACATTATAAATCTTAATTATGCGGGAATGGAACAATGTAGGTATTCCATGCATTATAAATGATACGCCTAATGGAATTGGAGCTACTAGGATATATTCTGTCACAAACAATGGTTCACTCAGAAACCATAAGTCAATATGAGTGTTTACTTTTAAATAGATAAGTAATTTGATATTTTTAAAAAAGTTTTGACTTTATATGTTAACCATTGTATCTCAGATCCGAGTTCGCTGCAATGTATTATTTCAGAAACAACCAGGACGAATAAGCAATGTCAACAAGTTCTTCAAAAATTGTAGCCCCAAAGCTATATAAATATGTCTACACTATTTAGCAAATGAATTTATGTATGTATTGTATATAATCTACTTATGTCTACTATATGTAACTAAGTTTTTGTTTAGCTTTTATAAAACCCATCTGTAAATTTTAAATTTAAAATGTATACCTCGTTTCTTTATATATTCGTAACGCTTAGATGAATTTTTTAACACTTGCATACAATCCGTTCTACAGTATTGCTGGAGAATTTGATTCCAACTTACCGACCGTTTTCTGTCTCAAAGACATTTTTAATGTAAGTTGGGCCGAGGTATTAGTAGGAAACTTCAGGCATACATAATATTCAAAATACATTCCATATACACATAAATAAACTTCACCGAATCGCCCGTGCCGTGGCACGGGTTACTACCTAGTAAATAATTTATGTCAAATATAGAATTTTAAAAATTATAAAATCAGTTGTGTTAAGGAATCAAATATGATAAAAGAATCATGAATCAATCTTTTTCTCATATTTAATTGGCTGTAAACACCTATATCTTCATATTTCTTTTCATATTGATCGTTTCATACTCTTCATACACCTTCTCGTCAATTTCATTTTCGTTCTTTCATGGTTATTATCATCGTTACATTCACCGTCCGCTTCTTCGCCATACTATTCTTCTTCCTCTTCTTTTCCTCATCATCTTCTTAACTTTTTTCCGCATCCTCTCCATCTTCTTCTATGTATAACATTCATTATTATGTGGTTAAAACAAAGAAAGAAATATAAAACCTTAACCAAAAACTAGCTTCATAAGCCTATGAATTAACTACCCAAAAAATCGTTTATTTGACCTTCTGATCTCAAAATTCAATTCCTTGCTACCAGAACTTTGTTCCAAGTTATCATAATTACTCCTACCAAATTTCAGATGATTTTCAATGACAGTACGTTTATTTGTTACATGCATGGAAATTTGTTTGATATGAAACTTTAATAACGAAAGGTATAAAAAATCAGAAATTTTCTGGAAACAGGCCGAAGAAACCAGAGACCTTACCATCACATGTAGATAAATAACTTTCATAAAGCTGTTTAAATCTATATTCCACCATTCAACCTCAAGACATTAATACCAGAAACCTCATCAAGTTCAAAGCCAAACATTTGGTATTGAGATATGATTGTCAAAGACTCAAAATCGCCATTATCAGCACCCTGCTAAGAGAAAAAAGTTACTTTAAGTTAATTTAGAAAGTAGTACTATTTTTAATGTAATCACTTAGATTTTGCTGACTAAAATAGTGAACATATATAAGTCTGTGAATGCCCGTACATACTATGTCAAGTATTGTATTCAGTAGTTGATTAACATCGTTGTTGAAAAATCCCATTGGAAACGTGGAGGAGAGACAAAATAAATCTGCATAAGTAGTTTATATTATTGTATGTGATAATATGTTACATAACAACATTAAACTTTCATAGGTAGATAACATATTCAGTAATGGGAATTATAGGATTGAGACTACAAACCTCTAACTTTTCTTGGGTTCACAGCAGTAGCAACATTTATTTGTTAGAACCAAAAAAATACAAAAACTAAACCCTACTGAAATAAACAAATTAACGGATAAACACACCAAACCAAAATTCTTAATACTTTATCGATTTTTCTTTCTGTCGGGTTCCTTTGTCTTCTCGTTCGACATGTAGTTTTAGTCTCATTCATAGTAGGAACACCAATGGTTTTAGATTAAAGATCACATGATCTATAAACCCAAAACATAAACAAAATAAGCAAAATCAACAAACACAATATATAGATTCATCGTAAAATAATAAAAGCTCACAGAATTTTAAAACCAAAAACAGAGAAAAAAAAAATCATAACGCATAATAAGAAATTTAATTATAGAAGAACCAAAACAATATGGAAACCATAATAACAACATGCACTACCTAACCAACCTAATTATTCGATATCTAATGTTGTAGCACAAGCTCTATATTTATATCTAAAAATATAGGGCAAACCGCCATAGTAATTTCTAAAAATTTAACATTATCACTAGAAATTGAACATTTTGAAAATCAAAATGTTCTCGGATCAATTATTCACTATGTATTTTAGTATTTATTTTCCATTTTTTCGAACTTTAAAATCAGAGTTTTCTAATGTTGTATCCTAAGCTTCTATATTTATAGCTAAAAATATAGGACAAAGTGCAAAACGCCATAATAATTTTTAGAAATATAAAAACAACTTAAATATTAAATGTTTTCTTTATTTTCGTTTATAAATTAAATATTTTTATAATTATAATTTTTTGTTTTGATTAGTTTTATAAAATTTATTTATTCTGGAAAAAAAG